ATAAAAGTTCTATTATATAAGAACTCAAAGTGGGTACTAAAAATTAGCAGATAATGCAAAATTTAAAAATAAATTAAAAAAATTGTAAAAATTTATATTTATGTAAAAATATTAGTCTAATAATACTTATGAATGATTAAAAAAAGTAACAATAAATAATATTATTCACCCTTATATAAATAATTTTATTTTAAATAGTTATAAGTAATATGTAATTAATAGTTAATAGTTCTAGTTAATTTTGTATAATTAGTTATCTAAGGTTTATAATTGTATTCTATATAATTTAAGTAATTAAATTTAGTTAATAATTCTATTATATTTGATATAAGAATATAATAATAAAAACTTAATATATAAAAAATAATCAATTATTGTATAATATGGTTTTTATGAATATTACTGTATGGCATAGCCGAGTCTTGACAGCCAAACATATTAAGAGCATTTACACTAATAACAACTGTGGTTGCGCTACTCCGGTGTTTTCGCATCATGTCATAGGCAAACATCATATTTTAGTATGAAGCCAGTATAAAATTTCAGCAAAAATCAGATTTTAAATAATTTGGAAGACTTGTGCATTTCATGCACACGAAGCCAGTCATATATTTTAAGAAAAAAAAAGCACACAAACAAAATCCAAGCATCACATTCAAAAATATTGTCTCACCTACCCATGCACATATATATTTAATAAGTGTGCAATAAAAAGAAGAGTAGAAAAAATTTACCAAGAAACTTACATACGCATGAGCTAGAAGCTATGTGTGCATTTGCTCTGATATTAGAGTTTTTTCTATATGATTTTGTCCAAGCAAAATACAACATGTTCGCTATTGGTTTGATTGCTGACTTCCCTAACAAAATAGCATTGATCATACATAAAATAATAAGTTCGATTGTTTATACGTTTGAACAGACATGTTTTTCCCATTGCGTGTACCTTTTCAGAATTCATGATTTTTTTAACAGAGGCAAATTACATGTCTTTATATTTCTATGTTTTTGGTTGAACGTAACTAACAGATCCACAAAAAAGCGATCTTAACTGATAGTTGGGCTAGTTGGAGTAAGGGCTCTAAATTGTCCTCACATGACAGCAAGACTGGTGATGGAGTAACTGCAAAACTTAAAAACGCTTGTGAAAACAAACTTGCCAGAAAAAAAATTCAAAAATCAATCTGTAAGTTGGCAGGAAGTGACAAAGCATCTTATATCGACTAAATAAATATTACTCTATGACATAAGTTCAATAATATATGTTTTAAGATAGTTGGATTAGATGAATTGCTTTCAATCCATGAAGGTGACACTACAGATATCTAGTTTGCAGTGCAATACTCTTAAACATAATAAAACTAACTATTTCAATGATTACATATAAAAATTTTGTATATGATATTGTATATAACATTAAAGTGTTTTTTTCAGGCTAATTGGTCGAAATTTGTTTTATTGTTTTTAAAAATTTTGAATATAAATTAAGAAAAACGAATCATAGTTCTATTTGAAATTGTGATTTAGATCTGCATTTAAAGTAAATAAAGCAGTTTACCTTACTTTATTCCATGTCTTTGACCGTATTTTTGTCTGAAAAAATTCCTTTCGTTAGCGTAAGTCAGGGTTAAGATAGGATCGCGGCCCAACACAAATGGCTAAGTAGATTGAAGGGACGCAAAAATAAATATATATTTTCATAATTTTTCCGGAGAAATACAAAAATACGGCGATTAAGATAAATTCAGTTTTATTAATTCTTCATTAATCCATTCGACACCAACTTTTGTCCTGTAGATTGGAAAATTTTAGAGTAATATTAATCCTTTTATATTAATTTCAGAAAAATTTAGCAATCGTTTACCCATTCTATCACTATTAGCATTATTAATATTAATTGTTACCATACAAAAAATATTTTGTTTAATATATTTTATTACTATAATGTTGTACAAAGAAATATATGCAAAGCCTTTGTTGTTGTTGTGATGATGGTTTTTTGATTTAGTGCTATTACGCACGTTTACTCTTTTATGGATGGGAAGCTTATCACTAGGTTTTAACTAAGCAGGAATTTATATCATTTATTTATCTTTTAATTGATGACGGACCGTATGTCAGCATATCTTCCTGTGGATCCTGAGGTGCACTTGAGGTTTGTTAGGGCAATTTTGGGCAGCGTATCAACTTTTGTGAATAATTTCAGAACTCTGTCCCTGAAATGTTTTTTCACTGAGTCGATCCTTAGATCTCAATGTATGTTGGTTGTTCTAATA